GTTCCGACCCATAGCGACCCTGTACAGGGTTTCCGAGGGTGTAAATCTTTACGGGAGTAGAAAGCCTCATCTTTCTCCCACGGAGAGACTGGTAGTTTCGAACCGCTGACCTTAAGGTTCACAGCCCGATTTGTAACCACTACACTACCAGAGCTACATAAAATTACCACTCCTAAATATGCTATCTAGTCTTTTGAGTTGCTTTTGTCAGTTTGACCCCATATAAATAGTTCTTAAAAGAGCACAGTGCTCAAGGCAGACATATTTTATAAGTTAAGCTAATTCAATATTTGGCTTAAAGAAGATTTCAAGAAATATTTTTGGTCTAAGGTTTAAAGCTTATTTCAGGAATATCCAGCCTCAATGGCCCCACAAACTCTGAATTCCGAGTCTGGTTAACTTTTGGTTATCTATGTAAATCAGAGGTTGGGATGGCATTCATAGTAAGGACTGGGCAGTTTCTTTGAAGACATCTGAACATATTTCTTAAATGGATTTGAATTGCAGAGAATCAGCACTGGAAGCGATGCTCTAGAAGTTCTGGGCTTGTTGCTTTTGGATACATCTCTTCCCCTAGACACAGACAAAATTATCCGTGTCTGCTCTTATATTTTATGAGATCTCCTTTTAACTCTCAGTGATGTTTGCAGGATTCCATAAAGTTATCAGCCTGCAATTTATAGAGCTTGTTTTGTGTCACTGAACAAGAATCCTTGTTTTTACAGGAACCACTATGCATGTAAAGAGCTCTGGTAACGTGGTGGTTATGAATCGGGCTGCTAACCTCAAGGTCGGCAGTTCGAAACTACCAGTGGTTCCGCAGGAGAAAGATGAGACTTTCTGCTCCTGTAAAGATGTATAGCCTTGGAAACCCTGTGCAGGGTCACTATGAGTCGGAACTGACTCCACAGTACTTAACAACAACAACAACTATGCATGTGAAAATAAATGTCTATTTTAATGGTGTACTTAATATTACTATGGTATAATTTTTATAAAAATAAATTTAATTTGTCTTTTTCAGGTTCTAGTGGAATACCTATGAAATTGGTCACAAATCTCTTTAATTTAGATTTGTCCCAAGATTGGCAGTTATACCAGTATCATGTCACATTTGTTCCAGATTTAGAATCTAGAAGACTGAGAATCGCTTTGCTTTACAATCATAGTCAACTTTTCAACAAAGCAAAAGTATTTGATGGTGCCATCCTTTTTTTGTCACAAAAGCTAGAAGAAAAGGTATAGTATGACAGATTTTCTACTATGTTCACACAGAGGTGTCTGGTGACACTTGAAGTGCTTGACTGCTAATTGAAAAGTTGTTGTTAGGTGTCATTGAGTCGGTACCAACTCATAGCGGCTCTGTGCACAACACAATGAAACATTGTTTGGTCCTGTGCCAACCTCATAATCATTGCTGCACTTTAGCCTGTTGCTGCTGCCATTGTGCCAATCCATCTTGTTGGGGGTCTTCCCCCTTTTCTCTGACCTGCCACTTTACCAAGCAAGATGTCCTTCTCCAGGAACTGGTCCCTCCTGATAACGTGTCTGAAGTATGAGAGATGAAGTCTCACCATCCTGGCTTCTAAGGAGTATTCTGGCAGATTTGTTCGTTCTTTTGGCAGTTCATGGTACTGTTAATATACCTCAGCTCCATAACTCAAGTGCATCAGCTCTTCTGCAGTCTTCCTTATTCACTGTCCAGCTTTCACATGCATATGAGGTTATTGAAAATACCGTGAGTCAGGTGCACCTTAGTCCTCAAGCTGACATCTTTGCTCTTCAACACTTTAAAAAGGTCTTGTGCAGTAGATTTGCATAATGCAATATGTCATTTGATT